GAATCACTGGTTCCTCACATCTCTCTGACAACTTCTGTAAAGTGAAAGGACAGTAAAGGAAATGAATATTCTCTTTCATTCCCCTTTTATATTTACATGAGTCACTCAGAAGCCAAAGTTTTCCCTAGAATTATTTTAAGATCCCAAATATCTTTTTTAAAAAAGGATTACCTATACCATGAGCTCTACTAAACAGAAAGGAACCAGAACTACCCCCTACAATCAGATGAGAGGCAAAAATCAAAGCACAGGAAATACAAAATTATATATATGTATATATATATATGATGTCAAAAATCCAACTGAAACATTGAATTTGGCCTGGTTTCCACAAATAATATTTGTTTTTCTTGGATTACACTACCAAATGTGTGCAGATCTTTCTGATTTGTTTTTTCTCTCGGGAGAGACGTAGAAATAAGGATGGAAATATATGATATCACAAGGCAAACACCATAACCACTGTCCTATCAGTCTGGCTCCAAACAGCTTTTTAAGGGTCTATCTCACAGTGATTCAATACAAAAGTTTTTAAAAAAATGATATAAAGGCCAAAGATGTGACTAAACAGTAGAGCACATGAATCTTGTATTTGTGAGGCCAGGGTTTGATCTCCACTACATTATAAAGTGTGTGTGTATGTGTGTGTGTGTGTGTGTGTGTGTGTGTGTGTGCGTGTGTGCGTGTGTGTGTGTGCGCATGTGCGTATTAAAGGTGTGAAAGTGAGGGATTTAAAAGTCTTATTCCCATAGCAACTGCACAAGACACATTCACACTACACAGGCCCCTCCTGAGACAGGCATCTGCCTCTTGCCATTTAACAACTCTTGGTAAAATACAAGATAAATAAAACCATATAAACGATACCCATTCTGAAATAAACATGCTATGTTGCCAAGATAATAACTATCTTATACTTCACTTGGGAAACTGGCAGCAATGGTTTCATATATATTTACACGCACATACACATCGAAATCATATTTTGCAATAGTTTGAAATCTCCCCTTCCCATAAGATGTGCTGTGTTATCTGTGATACAATCATAATTATGCCTTTTGAGTAAAATGCTATTAGAACTTATTAGAGAAATAATTCCCTGAACCTCCAGGAAAGATCAAGGATTCTGGCAGTTCAAAGAGATATTCATTCACTAAATGAAAAGCAGACAATGCTAAGAGAAAGGAAAGGTTCTGATCTCTATCTTAGGTGGTGGTCAGGGGATTCTGGCAGCGCTGCAAAAGTCCTCAAGCTCAGAAACAGACCATAATCCAAAAGAATGAAATAGAGGCATCGTGAGCATAGGAACCTAACCTGAGCCTAATGCCTACTAGTGTCCAGTAAATACCTGCAAACTATCTGAGTGATTACACTTCTCAAAGAATCAAAAGATACCTGACTCTCCAAAAAGCCAGAGAGTATACTCCAAAGGACTTCCAGAGTTGAACAAAGCTAAGCTCTAAATTACTTTTTCCCGTATCACTATGTATCTATTCAGTGCCACCTGAAATCTTATGCATATAAAAAATTTCTGTTCTCTCTTAGCTTGATTGAAGAATGTGTAGATGATGAATTTATAAGTTATCAGAATAAGACAACGGAGGGACACGTTAAAAATGTGTCAGTGTGGGGCTGGAGCAATGGCACAGCGGGTAGGGCATTTGCCTTGCAGGCAGCCAACCCGGGTTCAATTCCCAGCATCCCATATGGTCCCCCAAGCACCGCCAGGAGTAATTCCTCAGTGCATGAGCCAGGAGTAACCTCTGTCCACCGCTGGAGTGTGACCCAAAAAGCAAAAAAAAAAAAAGTGTCAGTGAAAGGCCAGTATTCTCTGTGCTATTATATAACTCTGTGCTATTATATATATAATATATATTATAATTATATATTATAAAGTTTTTCTTTAAAAGCAGGTAAGAGCCAAAGCAAAATTTCAAGAATGGAAATATCATTAGAGGAAAAATAATAAGAATTCGAATAATGTTTTGGGATCCCCATGGAAACATTTGTTATTGACTATACTACTTTTCTCTGTACTAAATATTTTACTCTGGGGTTTTAACGACTTTTAAGAAAGGGGGGATTCATTTTACACTAATTGTATATGTAGAGGCATATTTTCTAGTTTCTATGGTCCTGACTAGCAAACACCAGGAAGCAGGTCATTGTAATAAGGTTTTAATTTCCTAAGGCAGGGGATGTGCTCAATCACAAACCTGCCTCCTTGCATGAGTGAATGAGACCATGAGTCCCTTCTCCAGCTCTGCTGGTGAGATCTCAACAACACTGTAACAACCACAACAACAAAAGGAAGGGGGGAAGGCACAACACCACACACACACACACACACACACACACAAACACACGCACAGCTGAAGACATTTTAACAGAAGATTCAAAACAGCTCCTTATAATCGGGCATATTTGCTTTCCATTAACATCTAATCTGATACTTATATCTATGTAGTAGTATATCATAACAAAATTTGCTATCTAAGTGCTCTTCAAATTCTCTTTTACAAAACGAGTAATTGCTGTGTAGTTTCCACACCACCAATGAACCCAGGTCTGAATGTACCTAGTAGCAGACAGCAGATCTCACAGGGTCAGGACTCAGTCCCACAAGACTGTCCCTTCGCCCCTCTGCCTTCTGCCAATATACACAATGCAACCCCCACTCGCCATTGCAAGTCCAGCTTATAACATGTTTCTAATAGTCTTGCTATAAATTAGAGGTTCCCATGACCTTCTTTCAGATTCTTTTCATTTGCTGGAGCAGCTCAAAGGACTCAGAGAAGCATTTCCGTACTTTCCCCCATTCATTATAAAGCATGTAATAAATGATCCCCACAGACAGATGAAGGGGCAGGAAAAGTGCGGAACTTGTGTACTATATTAGGATGTGTCACTCACCGCTCTCCCTGCAGCCCCATGTGATCACCAACCCACATGCTCTCCCGACATCTGTCCTTTTCGGTTTCTCTAGAGGCCTCATGGCATGGACATGATCATGTAACACACTGACCATTGCTTGTGGGTCCCCCTCCATCCCTATGACCCTCCCAGAGGTCAGGGGAAGGGAGCTGAAAGTTTCCACTTCTAACCATGGTGGATGGTTCTCCAGCAAAACCAGCCTTTACCTGTACCTAAGTGCATCCAAATTCATCCCTCACATTAACAAGACACTTGCTGCCGTTCATTACTTGGAAAATGAGATCATCTTGAAAGTTTTAGCATTATGGGAATGGATGTTTTTACTATACATCACAATATCACAGGAGATAGAAAAAATAATCATAAATTAGATTGTTCTCTTTACTACTCACAGGAGAAAGACATGCTCCTATCCATTTAGAAATAGACACAAAGGCTGACACACTTGGCACCAACAAAAGTGCCAAGACTCCGTGCCAAGACTCCAACAATCCACACACTGAGGAACACTGGAAGAAACAGAAACGTGCTTGACTTGCAGGGGAGGGAGGCACCAGGGCACTTGCTGCCACTCATGCATGGGCACAGCAGTGCCAGGCAAGGGCAGAAGAGCCCACTAGACTTGGCCTGTGTGTTTCTCTCTCTCTCTCTCTCTCTCTCTCTCTCTCTGAGACACACACACACACACACACACACAATAACCTTCTCTCCCCACTCAGAAATGCTGCTGCCACACACCCTGTCTGGCTCACACACGTACTCTGCCCTGAGTCTCTGTCCTACACAATCCCTCTTCATCCCAGTGTTATGTTCATAATCATTCTCTCTCACTCACACACGCAGCTAACACACACAGCTCTCTCACTTGCTGAGGGAATGGCCTCTTTCACCCTACACAAATCTCCCCCTGCCCCCACAGCTAATGTCAATTTTTCCCTCAGTCTTTCCACTACCCACAGTCTACTAGTATTGTCTCAAACTGCTTCTCTCACTCTCTCTCTCTCTCTCTGTCTCTCTCTGTCACACACACACACACACACACACACACACACACACACACACACAGTCACTCCCCACCATATCACCGCTCACAGTCTGACAATGGAGCATTTTGCACACAGGCTCTCCAAGGTGCTACACGAACACATTTTCTCACTTCCTCTTGTTATACACAACCCCTCACACATAGCCTGCGAAGCAGAGCCTCAAACACAACCTGGAGCACACACACATACACAGCCTCTCACACACCATACACAACCTTGTAAACAGCTTGACACATAAGCAACTCACAACCATATACAGCCTCACACACATTCAGCCAGTTGATCAGTACCTTGGTTTCACTCAGACACCCGCACACAGCCTCTTACACAATCTCCCACACTGCCCGACAATGTAGCCTTTCACATACACACAATCTGTGGCAGTCTCTTTCACAGACACTCAGTGTACAGTCTCTCGCCTTATACACAACCTTACACACAGCTAAAGAAGAACCCCCCCAAGGCCCCACACACAGTCTCTCTCCCCCCTCACCCACAACCTCCCAGTCTGTTCCTGCAGACCCTCTTTCCACACAATCGCTCTCTTACACACACACACACACAAACCCTGCTTCTTATCACACAGAAGCCGTTGCAGACACGTGCAATGTCAGCCTTTCTCTTGTCCTACAACCTCACACATAGTCTGTCAATGTCCAACCTCAAGCGCGCGCGCGCGCGCGCACACACACGTACACACATACACGTGCACACACACGCACGTACACACATATGCACACACACGCGCGCGCGCACACACACACACACACATATACCCACCCACACATATGCACGCACGCAGGCGGGCACGCGGACACGCACGCGCGCGCGCGCGCTCTCCGCCTTTCACACCCGCGCCGCGGGCCCCGCCCCGCCCGCCGGCCCCGCCCCGCCCCGCTCGCCCGGCCCCGCCCGCCCCGCCCCGTGGCCGGGGGCGTGTCCGGCGCTGACAGGAGGGGCGGGGCGGGGCGGGCGGGTGGCCGGAGTCGGGCCGCGGGGCGCTGCGGCAGCGCCAGTTCCTCCGGCGGGTGCGGGTGACCCGGCTGAGCCCGCGGCCGCTGCTGGCGCTCGGTGCCGGGCCCGGCGCGGGATGTGCTCGGCCGGGGAGCCGCGCGGCGGCGGCGGCGGCGGGGGCGACGGCGGCGAGGAGCGCGACGAGGACGGGGACGCGCCGGCGGGGCGCGAGCGGGAGCCTGTGGCCGGCCGGCCGCGCCGGGGGCAGCGCGCGCCGGGGCCGCGCGAGCAGGTGAGCGGGGAGCGGCGGGCGCGGGGCCGCGCGGCTGGCTGGCGGGGCGTTCCCGAGCGCGGGGCCGAGGGCTCCCCGCGGGGGCCCTGGGCAGGTGAGCGGCCGGCCCGCCGGACTCTCGGGACTGGGCTCGGAAACGGCGGGCCGGGACTGGACTGGCCGGGCCGGTGGGGGGTGAGGGCGGTGGCTCTGGCGTCCCTGAGGGAAGGGGCACCCGGCCCGGCGCGACCCGGAGAGGGACAGGGACGCCTCGGAACGCTCCGAGTGTGCTCGCGGGGAGGCGGCACTGGGCGGGTGACACGTCGGCGCTCCTCGGACCCTGCGAGAAGTGCACGGGACAGAGAGGGACGGATTGAGACACTGTGTGCGTGTGCGCGCGCGCGTGTGTGTATGTGTGTGTGTGTGTGTGTGTGTGTGTGTGTGTGTGTGTGTAAGTGACTGGGCGGGGAGAGATTGAGAGAGGAAAAAAGGTTGAGAGAGGGAGGGAGAGAGCAGGTGAGAGAGATTGAGAGAAATTGAGAGAAGAAAGAGATTGAGAGATCGGAGAAGAGCGAGGAGAGCGAAGAGAGATTGAGAGAGACTGAGAGAGGAAAAAGATTGAGAGACTGAGAGAAATTGAGAGAGATTGAGAGAAATTGAGAGAGAAGATAGAGGGAGGGAGGGAAAGAGAGAGAGAAAGAGAGGGAGGGAAGGAGGGGGGAGAGCGCGCTGAGTGCAGGGCGAAAGCTCACCCTTAAAACCCTCGGAAAGCCCTGAAGCAAGCACTTGACGGGAGTGTGTCTCCGACTGCATCTTGGCGTCTCCTACAGCCTATCAGTGTTGGGACAGTCCCCCCGCCCCCCCACCCGGCCGTGTTGTCGCGTATCCCGAACTCTTTGTTCTTCACGACGTGCCTTCCTAAAGTGCAACTTCTTGCATTCCACACCGTGTCGAGGAGATCAGTGTAATCGGCCGCACAAAATAAGCCTTGGGCCACCTGCGGTTGTATCATTTTTCATCTTTATGATAGTTTCAGAGGTGATGGTGACTGAAGCAAATAACTGGTAGCTATTCTGATTCCTTTCTGATTCCTTTCCTGGTGTTTTTCCCAACTTAACTGTACCCTGACTGTAGTTAAAGGGCTTGGTTTCCGCTTACCATATGGCTGTTCAACTGGAAAAGTGGGGGAAACTGCAACACTAACTGCTGCGGGGCGTGGCCTGGAGGGCGGGGTTGTTGGGGGCTGCTTCGCAGCGATGGTCCCAAAGTAAATTTTCGAAATTTGAAGGGGGCACATAAAATACTTGATTTCATCGCCTGTGCCCTTGACATCATCGGTCCTAAGTAGTTCTAAGGGAAATTACTTTCATAGTAGAGAGGGAAGGTGGAAATAAAGGGAAGTATATATGCTCGCCAGCAGATACCACCTTAAAAAAGAATTTAAAAAAAATTCTTTTCATGGAAATTCATTTTCCTACATTCCGTTGAAAATGTTACTTAGTCAGAGATAAGTACAAGGGTAGGGCACTCACTTTGCATGCAGATGGCATCTCGTTTGGTCCCCCTGAGTATTGCAAGGAGCGCTTCCTGAGTGCAGAGCCATGAGTAAGCCCTAAGCATTCCCAGGTGTGGCCCAAAACAAACAGAAAAAATGTTACCGTGATATCATATTAATCATATAAATTATTTGCATACTCTAAGCCTAGATACAATTGAAAATTACACCACAGATATTTATTTCACGAAGCCAGTTTTTTTTTCCTATTCTTTGTTTGGGGTCCACACTCAGCAGTGCTCAGAGCTCAGTCCTTGCTCAATGCTCACGGTACACCCCAGGTGCTGCTCAATGCAGTGCTGAGACTTCAACTCCAGCTGCTTCCAAGGCAAATGCCTTGCCCACTGGACTCCAGCCCAAAGAAGCCAAATATTTTTAACTTAAAAAAGAAAAAAGGTACAACTCACTAGTTTAAGAAGCTGGCATTGGTGACAAATTATCCCTTGGGAATATTATAAAGGTTTGTTTTCTAGCTTTTGTTTTCCAGCCCTGCTTGATGAAAGTTTAGTGTTTCTCATGCACTGCCAATGCAGTGAGCTAGAGATAATGGAAGAGATATTTGAAGGGGAGCAAATGAAATTAAGCATATGACATATACTAAGGAGTCATTTTGTTTTGCTTCTCTTTAGGGAGACAGACAAGCGTTTTTTGTTTTAAAAACATACTGACTCCAAATCATGAGTGGAATATTTTTCAAAACTTGGTTCATGAACCAGTTATTTGGAACTTAAAGTGAATTCTTCCATAGAAAAAATGATATAAACAGAAACAGAACCAAAGCTAATTAGCTGGAAATGAGGCAGAGGCCATCTTCCTGCTGTCCTTTCTGCTTAGCATGATCATCCTGTGTTCCAGAGTCTTAGCAACCCTGTGGACGTTGAGAAAGAACTGGCAGCAACAGCAGGAGACTCGTCAGATCTGGTTCCAGTGCAGCAAAGGGGTGCCCCTGAGCTAATACCTCCAAGGCAACTGACTTGCATGCCTGGGGCTACTTTAAATAGTCTCTATCAGCCCCTACTTTTCTGTATTAAGATTCATTTCTATTTCCTTTCCACGGTGTTTTGCCTTTGAGATGAACCAGACTACTTCCTTCAGTGATTCCCTAGGTTAAGAAGCCCTCACATATATCCTTTCCATCGCTGCTCTTTTTTTCTCTGAAAGGCTCATGTCTATGATGGCTTTATATTTCCCTTCATTATACAAAACCTTTTTTTTTTTTTGATCCTCCCGTTGATCGTCGATTTGCTCGAGCGGGCCCAGTAACGTCTCCATTGGAGACTTTGTTGTTACTGTGTCTGGCATATCGAATACTCTCGGTAGCTTGCCGGGCTCTCCGAGAGGGGCGGTTATTATCATGATGCCCAATCAATGGCATCAGTATTGGGGTATCTATTTCATATAGTCCTGAAGCACTGCTACTAATACAGGTGTTTAAAATAAAACATCATCTGCATCGCTGGTGACAGTTTGTCAGCAGAGTAGACTCTATCCGAGAAAATTGAGATATTTTTGTCCTTTTAGTCCGAATCTGTCCAGGAAGGATAAATGACAAAGGAGGCCTAATTTAAACCAAATATTGTGGGAAATGAGGATTTGAAGGACTGGACCAAGTCCCCTAGATGCAGGAACTGTAAAGCTTGAGGTGGAAATCCTCAAAAAAGAACAATAAGCAAGGAATAAAGGCAAAACATCCAAGGAACAGAGAGGCAAGGAAAGCGTCTCTCCCCTGTATGTGAAATAACTGTGTGTGTGTGTGTGTGTATGTGTGTGTGTGTGTGTGTGTGAGAGAGAGAGAGAGAGAGAGAGAGAGAGAGAGAGAGAGAGAGAGAGAGAGAGAAGAGTGCACACTGGGTACGCTCATGACTGAATGCAGGTGCTTTATGTCAGCGTCTCTGCCTTGCTCTGCTAGATGGTTAAAAATCACCAGCCCTGAACTCACAGCATGAATTTCCAAGACGCTCCTACAAACCTGCAACATCTAGACGTCCCATTAGCCTTAGATTGACTTTTAGGATCAGATCTTTAGCTTTAAGGTTTTTATTATTATAAAATAATGTGTCACTGTCACTGTCCTCCCATTGTTCATCTATTTTCTCGAGCGGGCCCAGTAACGTCTCCATTGTGAGACTTCGTTGTTACTGTGTTTGGCATATCGAATACGTCATGGGTAGCTTGCCAGGCTTTGCCATGCGGGCCAGATACTCTCAGTAGCTTGCAGGGCTCTCGGAGAGGGGTGGAGGAATCGAACTCGGGTCGGCCATGTTGACTGTGTGCAAGGCAAACTCCCTAACCGCTGTGCTGTTGCTCCAGCCCAAAATAATGTGTACTCAATAAAATTAAAAACAAATAAAATAAAATAATGTGTACTTCAGAACATACTGAAACAGAACTAAAGAAGAAAAAGCATTTGAAATCCTTCTCCAAATAATGTTACTATAAAATCATTAAGAATTGGTACTACTATGTTAATGTATCCCTCTATACATATGTATATCCTCATACACAGAGATATAGTTTAACATGTCTTATATAATACTTGGGCTGGAGCGATAGCACAGCAGTAGGGCGTTTGCCTTGCACGCAGCCAGCATGGCCGACCCGAGTTCGATTCCTCCGCCCCTCTCGGAGAGCCCGGCAAGCTACCGAGAGTATCTCGCCCGCAGGCAGAGCCTGGCAAGCTCCCTGTGACGTATTCGATATGCCAAACACAGTAACAACAAAGTCTCCAATGGAGACGTTACTGGGCCCGCTCGAGCAAATCAATGAACAACGGGAGGACAGTGAAAATATCTGCTATATAATACTTGAATTTGATGTTATTTTCCATGTTAACAAAAGTTCCTTATAAAAAATATTCTTAGGGTTGCATGATCATTCTTTCCCCTAACACTGTTCATTTTAAGTTGCTTTAAACTTCCTTTTATAAATAATGAAAATATTTGATTGTAAGTCCTGATAGATCTTGGAAAAGATTCCTAGAAGTGGAAGAACTTGTGTTAGTGAGTCAGATTCTTTAAAGCTTCTTAAAACATCCTAAAGAACCTTGTCAAGGATAGTTGCTCAAATATACCCTCTGGCACTGGAATATTGGAAAGACAATTGGAACCAATCCATGACAGCAATGAAAAGTATAATTTAAAGATTAACCTTTGCCAATTCAGTGTTCAAAAATTATCTTCTTGTTATAATGTACTTCCAGAAAGTTTTATTAAACTATTAATATAATGTAGAATCTTTAAAATCACATTGACAAGTTTTTCTTTGGGCATTATAAGATATTAATCCCTATTTTATATTAATTATTTAACAGGACTGGGTAAATGTAATTTTTATGTTCTCTGGCCTCCACAATTAGAAAATCACCCTGGCAGGAAAGAGAGATGGAACAATTCAGTTTTTACATACATAAAAAATAACCCATGTTAAATATAGACTGTGATTGGTCTGAGATGAAACCAAAGCTTTT